CGTCCAGGATTGGCCTCCACGATGGCATTGCAGCCATGGTATTCTGTGCACAGCACCAAGACCCAGGACATGCAGGAACATATAATGGAGGCCTCTCCAAGTGACTGACTTCCCAGCTGTATGCACTGGAGCAATAACCAAGCCATTCATGTCCTTTTGTCTTGACCTGGCTGATTCTGGAAAGGAGAAGTGTGGGGAGCAAGACCAGGAACAAACAGTGGGGAAGGAATTAGAAACTTCACGTCTCGCTCAGATTTTCCACCCACACTCCTGTCTGCAAACCTTGGCACCTCACCCCTCCCCAGTTCACTCTCCCCTTTGGTCCGCATTGATTCTGAGTTTGATCTCCAGAGTAGTCCGTGTGTCCCACTAGTTACACAATTGCTCAGTATTCCCAGACCCTAGTTCAGGGCGTAATGCCCCCGCCCCACCAGGAGCAGAAGATAACCAACATTCCTGCCCTGAAGGTGCTTGCTGACTGAGACCTTAAGATAGTGCTAGATCTCTAGGAGAGATAAGCTGTCCCGGTTTGTGGTAAGTGACCAAGGGAGCTGTACAATGGGTTTCTACAAGCGCTCACAGTGAGGGCAGCAGTTCACACAGGGGCAGTGGGGAAACCCCTTTGCAGTCTTGTGAAAAGTAAAATATTTTTCAGTGTGTTTAAAATATGGTTTCTCTTTCACTTCCTTCCTTTTTCTAATGAAAATCACTGAGCAGTTGAGTGTTTTCGGCACTTAACTGGAATCATTAAACTTGTGAGGTGTGTGTTTGTTTTTTAAGACCAGGTCTCACCTAGTCCAGCCTGAGAATGACCTTGAGCTCCTGATTCTCAGACCTCTATCTCCCCAGCACTGGGAGTACAGGCATGGCCAACCGCTCACAGCGTGCGTGTGTGTGTGTGTGTGTGTGTGTGTGTGTGTGTGTGTGTTGCTGGTGAGCAGTCCAGGGTTTTGTTCATGCTCACCGAGCACTCTGTAGGTTGAGCTGCCTCAAGCAGCCTCTGGCCTTGTCTCAGCCTTCAGAGAATGCGCTAGAGTTTTGTAGAGGTACAGTTCTGAGGCCTGTTTTCCCACGGAGTGTTCTAAACCCTAAAAATGGCACAGGAAGACCAAACACTTTATCAAAATGTTTTGCCCCTGCCTCATCTCTTCATTTTTAGTCTCACACTGTAGCCTAGGCCGGCTTGGAACTCACTGTGTTGCCCAAGGTAGCCTTAAACTCAAGGCAGTCCTACGTATGCCCCAAAGGCTGGTACTATTGGTATGAGCCACCATGCCCAATGCAGAAAACCCTCTCCTGGTTAATGTTTTTGAAGATGTTTAAATATAAAAGCTAATGTTGGCAGAAACAGTTTATTTGATAAAGCCAAGTACTAGAATTTAGATTAGACCATAGTTTTTGTTTGTTTGTTTTGTTTTTGAGAGTCTCCAGCCTACAGCCTTTCTGTGAAGCCAAGCATGATCTTGAACTTCTGATCTTCCTGCCTCCACATCCCAGTTCTGGGACTGTAGGATGAAACACCATGTCTGGTTTATTTGGTCTGGGGAATCAAGCCCAGGCCCTCCTCCATGCTATGTAAGCACTCACCAACCCAGCTACGTGACTAGTCCAGCCATAGGTTTTAAGTAAACATGGAATAAAATTCCACCTCAGTATCATTCAAGCTGAACGTCACGTCCAGGTTTTGCCCCTTCTACAAAGATCTCAAGTGTAAGCAGCTGAACTCTTCCTCTATGAAACAGTGTTTTAGCATGTGCCTCACTCCCCTCAACTAGAGGAAATTAGTGAGAGAGTCACCAGACATTCTTCCAGGATAAGGCACAGGCTGCCTTTAGACCTGCAGCTACTGATCCGACGCCTTCAATTTCAGTTGTTTACTTTGCATTTTGCTCACATTTCTGGGTCATCTTCTTATTTACTTTGGATTTGAGGTTTGTCTGTTTCTCTCCATCTGGATATTCTGTGCTGATTCTGAAGATAGCTTTGAGGAACTGGGATAAAAAAGAAGTTAGAGCTGCTGACAGTGTTATTGTTAATGCCCAGCCCACAGCCTTTGGTGTACTCAGTAAACCTGTGTGTGTGTGTGTGTGTGTGTGTGTGTGTGTGTGTGTGTGTGTGTGTGTGTGACCACTGCCCTGTGGTGTTGGTGTACTCAGTAAACGAGTGTGTGTGTGTGTGTGTGTGTGTGTGACCACTGCCCTGTTGTATACTCAGTAAACGAGTGTGTGTGTGTGTGTGTGTGTGAGACCACTGCCCTGTTGTATACTCTGTAAACCTGTGTGTGTGTGTGTGTGTGTGTGACCACTGCCCTGTTGTATACTCATTAAACTAGTGTGTGTGTGTATGTATGTGAGACCACTGCCCAGTGGTGTACTCTGTAAACCTGTGTGTGTGTGTGTGACCACTGCCCTGTTGTATACTCAGTAAATGAGTGTGTGTGTGTGTGTGTGTGTGTGTGTGTGTGTGTGTGTGTATGTGAGACCACTGCCCAGTGGTGTACTCTGTAAACCTGTGTGTGTGACCATTACCCTGTTGTATACTCAGTAAACAAGTGTGTATGTGAGACCACTGCCCTGTGGTGTACTCTGTAAACCTGTGTGTGTGTGTGTGTGTGTGTGTGTGTGTGTGTGTGTGTGTGTGTGTGAAAGAGAGAGAGAGAGAGAGAGAGAGAGAGAGAGAGAGAGAGAGAGAGACCACTGCCCTGTGGTGTACTTAGTAAATGTGTTTGTGTATGAGTGAGTGATTGAGAGACAGAGACAAAGACAGGATGTTCAGCATCAGTGTCCATCATGGGCTGAGCCTCCAGCTCACTGACTTGCTGAGGATGAGCTGGAGCATCCTTCCTTTCATCTGAGACAACTAGAATTTCCCCCACTTGATGGAAAAAGTGGTCATTGGATCTTTGAAGAAATCCGTCCCTTTAGATTTAGGCACTAAAGCAAACAAATCAGGTTTGCTCAGCATTGCTGTTTGTTCATGGTGGATGGAGAGTGGTCACTTGAAAGCACGTGCTAGATCCTATTTATGCAACAGAATCACAGAATACAGACACCATACGGTCCATGTATAAGGAAGCGCTGAGGCATGCTATCTGACTGGCTCAGTGCTCTGGTTAATTCTGAGGTCACGTACTGAATGCAATGGGGAGGGAACAGAGGAAGCCTCCAATTTTCTTCATGAATGTAGACTCTGCCTTTTGAGACATGATCAGTCTTGAATTTTGGCTTCCCGCCCTGGTTGCTTTTCTTCTGAGTGGAGAAAATACCTGGGGTGGTTTTGTCCCTCCAGCCACAGTCATCCAAGTTCACCGTCCAGCAGAATCAGTTTTAGAAGGTTTACTAAAATGCAGCCAGTGAGCCTTCCCTCAAGGATGTCTGACATGGTGTGTCTGATGTAAGGCCTGAAACTTGCTCTTCTGAAAACGTCCCAGGTGGTGTTGGTGCTCCTGGTCTACATCTTAAGAAACACCGCTCTGGGCTACTTCCTGCCTTACAGTCATTGTGACATTAACCGTTTCAGCTGTCACCACATGGCCAGAACAGCCAAAGAAGGTTTAAGTAAAGACCGGCTTTAATGTTTCAGAAGTGACCACTCGGTTATGGGAGATTTCGTCTTGCTTGCAGAGACAAGATGCAGCCGAAAGGTCGTGTGCCTGAGGCGAGGTCAGCTGCCTACCTACCACCACCGGGCATTAAATGTTTTTACTGACTTGGAAACAGCAGGTAGCAGGTGGGAACTTGCTTGAGGAAAAAATGTTCGCTAGTCTACAGAACTGGCGATGTGGCAGAGAGAAGAACCAGTCCTTGCTCAGTTTCTTGGTCATCTTCAGAGAGGAGGTTTCCAGTTTGCCCTGCCTTCAGGACTTTTCACTTTTCTGTTTCACTTTCCTGAGCTAGTGAACTCCTTAGCCTGTGCATTAGGTTATATTAAAACCAAGCGGATGGCAGGGCATGGTGGCACGTACCTGTAATCTTAGCACTTGGGAGTTCCCGGTCAGCTTGGTCCACATGGAGTTCCAGAAGAGCCAGAGCTACTGGGTGAGACCCCGACTCAAACAACTAGTTGGGGCCAGTGAGAAGGCTCAGCGGGTAAAGGCACTTGATGTTCAATATTACAAGCCTGGCCCCCTGGGTCCTGTCCCCAGAACCCTCATGAAGGAAGAGGGAGAAGACTGATTCTTCAAAGTTGTTCTCTGACGTCCACATGAGCACCATGATATGTGGGCGCTCTCTCTCTCTCTCTCTGTCTCTGTCTCTCTCTCTCTCTCTCTCTCTCTCTGTCTCTGTCTCTCTGTCTCTCTCTCTCTCTCTCCCTCTCCCTCTCCCCCTCCCTCTCTCTCTCTCTCTCTCTCTCTCACACACACACACACACACACACACACACACACACACACACACACACATCATCATCATCATCATCTTCATCATCAAAATCAATTACATTAAAATTTTAAAATAAGAAAGAAAAACCGAGCCTGTCTGAGTCACACTGTGGTACCGCAGGCAACAGCGTCATCCCTCCAAACTTCCTGTGGTGAAACCAGCTCAGATGAACCAAGAACCAGCCACAAACTCCTCTCCTGAGCATGTTCATATATTCATTTTAGCATTGAAAATGCTCCATCCCGCTGCCAGTCTAAAGATATAAACAGTGTTTTTGCAAATTTATACCTTCAACTCTCACTCAAACTCTTAATTCTTTGTTGTTGTTGAGACACCACGATGCAGTCCAGGTTGGCCTAGAACTCACCATGTAGCCCAGATAGCCCGGGCTGACCTCGAACTCACAACCCTCCTGCTTCCCCATCCTGAGTCCTGGCGTTGTAAGTGTGAATCACCATGCCTGGCTCAAACACCCCTTCTCATTTCCAGCCATCCACCAGGTTAAAGTGGTCATCTCCTGTTCAGTGTCTTCAAGACTGACGAAGCTTTTCCCTGTTCAAAGCTGGCTTCCACTTTCAGTTTTCCCCCTTCGTTAACCAGCGTCCTTTGTTTTGCTTTGGAAACATGGAACGCTTCATGAATGTGCGTGTCATCCTTGCACAGGGGCCACGCTCACCTTCTCTGCATTGGTCCATTTTAGTATATAAGCTACTGGAGTGAGCGCGAACCCCCCCCCCCCAAGTTCTCAGGTTTAGAACATCAGCTCCTCCCTCTCCTTCATCCCTAGAGTCCAGTCTGTCAGCAAATACTTTCAGCACTTCCTCCATAATGTCTGATTCACCCTTAGAACTGCCACTGCCAGAGGTCAAGCCCTCAGGGAGCCAGGCTGGGTTCTTGGAATGGCTGTTTTGTGTGTCTCCCCCCCACACACACCAGTTTTTCTTCATTCCACTATTTTTTCTTTAATCTTCAGAGTAACAATAGTGAGAGTTTTGGGTTTTTTTTGGGGGGGGGTTGGTTTTTTTTGGAGGGGGGTGTTTGTTTGTTTTTGGGACAGAATTTTGCTGAATGTCCCCAGGCTAGCCTTGAACCCATTATGTTGCTTAGGCAGGCCTCCAACTCATGATCGCTCTTGCTCCCTCAGCCTGTAGAGTGCTGGGATCACAGGCATGAGCCACAGCATCCTACACAATACTGTTTTGATAATAAGCACCTCTTGTTCAGCACTTTAGGGTTAGTCTTTTCCTCATATCGGAGGACAAACTCGTGACCTTTTTTCTTCTCCCCAACTCTTCCCAGGTCCTCCCCACCTCCCCAATTTCTTGCTCTTTCTCTTTCTTTAAAAAACCCAAGAAACACCGAAAACACCCACAAAAATGGAAACCAAAATACACAAGCAAAAGACCATTAGGACAAAAAAAAATGCCCAAATAAAGCAAAATGAGACAAAAAGTCTACAAAAAATACCATTTAATTCATTGTGCGTTGGCCAGTTACTGAGCGTGGGGCCTGCTTTGAAGTGTGGTTGATACACCCGGTGAGACTCCCTGGAGAAAACTAACTTTTCCCTGGCAAGCACTTGTTCATTACACATAGCTTCTCAGTTAGGGGTGGGAGCCCTTGTCTTCTACTTCCTCTCAGAGCTGGGCCCCATTTGGCTTGAACCCGAGCAGGTCGTGGGCATGCTACCACAGTCTGCGTGCAGCAGCCCTGCTGTATCCGGAAGACACTGTTTCCTTGGAGTCCTCCATCACCTCTGGTTCTTACCATCTTTCTGCCTCCTCTTCCACACAGATCCTGGAGCCCTGAGGGGGGCTCTGATGAAGACATCCCATTTGAGATGGTGTGCTCCAGAGTCTCTGACTCTGCACAGCAAGCTCTCACTGTTCACGGTCAAGTAGCCTTCATAGCAGTGGCCCTCTCTCAGCTCTCCAAACTCTAGAAATTACTTACTATTCATTCTTATTATTACTACTGTGTGTGTGTGTGTGTGTGAATGTGTGTGAGTGTGATTGTATGTGTGAAAGTGTGTGAGTGAGTAATTGTGAGAGTATGTGAGTGTGCGTGCTTGTGCGCGCGTGTGTGTGTGTGTGTGTGTGTGTGTGTGTGTGTGTGCAGATGTAACATACCATAACAAGTGTGTGGAGGTCAGAGGACAGCTTTGGGAGTCAGTTCTCTCCTTCCACTTGAGGATTCTGGGAATCAGGCTCAGGTAGTCAGGGCTGCATGGCAATGGCTTTACCTACCAAGCCGTCTCAGTGGTCTAGCTAAGATGCTGTCAGATCTGGTTTTCAGTCAGACACGTCTCCCTGTTCTTTGAAGACCTGAGAGAAACAGACCATGAAACTGCTTCCCTCACCCAGTTCTTCATTTCATCTCAAGGCTGAAACTAAGAAGTTCCAAAACACGCATTTGAAAGGTGTCCATAGACCAGATCCTGCCTTTTTTTTTTTCCCCAACATGGCTATTTTTCTCCTATCCAAACCCTGCCCTCTTTAAGAGCTATTTGAAGGCCCTCACAGTCCACAGTGCCTATTGGCTGCACCACAGAGTGTAGTACTGGATAACATACCCTTGTGCATCAGCATTGCTCTTGAGTGTCATCTATGTTCTCCTCAAGGAGATTATGGTTCCTGAGTGCAACCCAGCATAATTTTAGGAAGAAAGTAGTTGCTCATCAAATGCTTGCCAACTTTATAAAAGGCCACAGTTCAGTACCATTCTGATGCATTCGTCTCTACACACGTCTGCCCGCTCTAGTGCTCAGGGGTCACATCAAGGGATTCCCCGTATCTTGACAAAGAACTCTGGGCACCATTGATCCTCCCAGGGTTTGGAGGAAAATGTGGCCGCTATTATTTTGGGGAGAAAGGCAGCTCCAGACCCAGGTCTGATAATGCCGAGGCTTATTAGTGACTTAGTGACAGACAGTAGTTAGTTATTTGGCTAGGAAGGGGGATTCAGCCTCTGAAGTGTTCCAGCGAGGTGTTGGCTTAGCTATTAGATCCGCTGCTGTTCTCTGAGGCCAGCCTACCTGAGGACATTGGCACAGTCTGGTGACTGGGAGTCAGCCTTGCACCCTGAGAGCTCGTTCACAGGCATCCACACAGGAGTACCCACCCGAGCAGAGAACAAACACCGAGAAGACCAAGGAAAGTGCCCTCGGTGTAGTCACGGTGTCAACAGACGACGTAGCAGATAAGGCGGCGTTTATGAAGCAGGGATGTCGTGGGGGAGGGGAGTCGATGCACCTGTGGTTGATGATTCAGAAACTTGGTGCCACATTATATGGCACTGTGAGGCCACCTTATGTTCCAGCCACTCCATGATGGCTGATGTCATCTAATTGCCCGCTTGTTAAACTGGGCCAAGAGGAAAGAAAGTATTGGAAGAAGGCCAGAGGAAGGTAGGCTCATGTCTTCACTGAGCCACCATCAGAACCATGAGCTACATGGCTGTTAGAGGCTTCTCTCCTTATGGGTGGAGTCCCTCCTTGTCAGCCTAATAGAGGTTGATTCCCAGCACAGGTGTCGTGGGATTTGTCTTGCTCATTTCTATGACAAATATGTTCAAATTTAAATGCATTCAAATGGGGGATTGTAACTGGAGAGATGGCTCAGTATTTACAGGCACCTGTTGCTCTTCTAGAGGACTGGGTTCAGTACCCCAAACCCACAGGGTTGTTCACAACCATCCAAACTCCAGCTCCAGGGGACCCGATGTCCTCTTCTGACTTTCATGGGCACCAGACACACACATAGTACATATACGGATATGCAAGCAAAACACTCATACACATAAGTAAATCTAAAAAAAAACAATTGTGAATGTATTCAGATGGAGATGGCTCATTTGGGAAAAAGAATTCCCCACCAGTGTAGGAACCAGAATGTGGGTTCCAGCACCCAGGTGAAAAGCTGGATGCAGCAGCATGCATCTGGAAGTCAGCACCGGAAGGTGAGGTGTAGGGGTTGAGAGAGGTAAATTCTCGGAGCTCACTAAAGCCAGTCTAGCTCCAGATTCAGTGAGAAATGTTGTTTCAAAAAACAAGGTGGTGAGTAACCAAGGAAGACACCCAACATTGACCTCTGACCTTGACACACAAAGTAAAATAAAGTAAAAGTATGCAAATGGATTTCTGTGGCTCACCCAGTAGCCAGCTTACTGTGTCTTAAGTAGGAACAAGGTCTGGATAGTTCCTGTATGCTGCAGTAGGAATGGATTCAATCCCAGACTCACCGAGCTGCCCTTTCAGTTGTCTGTGGATTTCTGTGGCTCACCCAGTAGCCAGCTTACTGTGTCTTAAGTAGGAACAAGGTCTGGATAGTTCCTGTATGCTGCAGTAGGAATGGATTCAATCCCAGACTCACCGAGCTGCCCTTTCAGTTGTCTGCTATTTTAAAAAGTGCTCAGTGTGTGCTTCAGACAAACACACTCTTGGGAGACCGAAATCTCAAGCTTTTAATGTCAATAAAGCATACATTTATGGATCATTCTGTTAGGACATTGTGCTTTGTGAGGTATGAAGACAAGCCTTCCCTGAAATTATACTCTCATGTAATTCAGAAAACAAAAATTATTATATACTAGAAGGATACAACCAGACATTTGGGGCATTTCTTTAAAGAAGAGATTTTCCAGGAAAGAAGCAGTGCACGCACGTATCCTGAAGGCTGAGTGGGATGGATTTGCATGTGTTGTAGAATGGTAATGACGCCTCTCCCAAGAGATTGTGAGAAGTGTAATGCCACGTGTTTTGGACAGTCAGTGCATTTAGGAGAGAAGTGGGCTTGCCACTGGCAAGATGAGTAGAAATACTTTGTGTTGATACTCTGTGTAGGAATGGTTAGGATTTTAAATGTGTGAATTCATCTCTACACCGATCTTTTTAGACATTGTCCTCTTTGAAAATATATTACTACTATCGTTTTGTTTTGTTTTGGTTGTTGTTGTTTGAGGCAGGGTTTCTCTGTGTAACAGTCCTGGCTGTCCTGGAACTTACTCTATAGACCAGGCTGGCCTCAAACTCACTGATATCCACCTGCTTCTGCCTCCCGAGTGCTGGGATTAAAGGTGTGTGCCACCACTACCCGGCCATTTATTATTATTATTATTATTATTATTACAGGCCAGGAACTCACTATGTAGACCAGGCTGGCCTTGAACTCACAGAGCTCTACCTGCTTCTTTCTCTTCCGTGCTGGGATTAAAGGCTCGCACCAGCACATCTAACCGATTAACTGTATTTTTAATTGTATGTATGTGTTTGGGTACGTGGATGTGAGTGTGGATGCCCTCTGAGAGCAGAGGCACTGGATCTCTCTTGAGCTGTGTGAGCTGGCCAACACCAGCGCTTAGGTCAGACTCTGCAGGAGCAATCCACACTCCTTAACTATTAGAACATCTCTCTAGCCCTGTTTTCCCATTTTCTGCTAAAGATTCAGATAAGACAGATCACTCACATCTTAGAAGTGTCAGCGTTGAAATGCAAAACCAAGTTACTGCTTCCAAAGGCTGTATAACGTATCTCGATTTGATAGGCCAAGGAGTCTGGATTTAATTCAGAAGATTGTTGGTATCTGAACAGAACAATGATATGATTAGCATTTTGTTTAGGAAGATTGTTCTACCAGGATTCACAGAGAGAGTTAGAATGATGACAGGCTAGTTAGAAGTCTGCTTTAATGCCTCTAACGCCAGGGACAGAGAAGGTAGTTTTCTAAGACTAGTTATTAGATACAGCAAGGATTCATAGTGACTCTGGGGTGTGGTGACCCTAACAAAGTCAGATAAGAAGGGCTATTGGCGCCAGGTGGTGGCGGCGGTGGTAGTGCACACCTTTAATCCCAGGACTCAGGAGGCAGAGGCAAATAAGTCTCTGAGTTCGAGACCAGCCTGGTCTACAGAGTGAGTTCCAGGACACCCAGGGCTATGCAGAGAAACCTTGTCTCAAAAAACAAAACAACAACAATGCTGGGTGGTGGTGGCACACACCTTTAATCCTAGTACTCAGGAGCAGAGGCAGCTGGATCTCTGTGAGTTCAAGACCAGCCTAGTCTACAGAGCAAGTTCTAGGACAGGCTCCAAAGCTACACAGAGAAACCCTGTCTCAGGAAAAACAAAACAAAACAACAACAACAAAAATGGTTATTAGCTTAGGGTTGCATGCTGCAGAAGGTGGTACTTGGTTCCATATAGTTGAGTTTGGGGGTACCATTAAGACAACAAAGAAATGATGTCTAATGGGCCTATGAAAGACCAGGCCAATTTGACTTCAGAGACCTGATTTAGGAATTATCTGGAAATACTGGAGTGTACAGGAACTCCAGAAGAGAGGGCATAGAGATGAGAGAATCTGTTCTTAGGAAATGTGTATGTATTAGACAAGCGGCAAAGGAAGAGAAGAGAGGAAACCAGAGCAAATGGGGGGCAGTCAGAAGAGAAAGAGGTGCTAGCTAGCCGAGCCGCATGTCACCGTGAGTGAGAGAATCGCGACAGTAGTCAGGGCAGAGCCACTGAGGGCAGAGCCACTGAGGGCAGAGCCACTGAGGGCAGAGCCACTGAGGGGCGCGTCTCTGCTTTATTCACGTTGGTCCTTTTCTTGAGAAGCAACAGACACCATTAAGTGCAGCCACTTTCTTTTTTCTCCATTCTCAGCCCTGTTTATGGAGGCAGTTAGTCAATCAAGAGGACTGTTTTCCTATTAAAGACATATTTAGTCGCCACACTTTTAATTTGAGCTAGTGAGAACTCTCGATTTTATTGCCAACAAATGAACATGACAATGCCCTGGCGTTTATCAAGTCGTTCGAGACTAGTTGGTCTTTGGGTCTCTCTCTCTCTCTCTCCAAGAAAACCCTTGTAAAGATGTTGGCTCTTTTACCACACACTTCCTCCTGTGGTCCACCAAGTCTCCAGTAGCTTGAGTCTGTGAAGTCTGTGGCCAGAGTTCAGGCCACAGGCTCAGCATCCCTCGTGTTGTCTCTTGAGTCTTGAGTTACCTGCTTTGTGAAGTGGGTAATGCTAATGAGAAGAGAATAAAATAGCTAATGAAGGATTATAAAACACTTTGCAAGTATAAAAGCAACATCAAAGCGAAATAATCATCTTAATTTAGGGTAAAGAGTTCCATTAGCCAGTGAGAAGTAAGAGGGGCGCGGGGGGAGTGATGCTTTGGACCTTGATAACTGTGCAGATCAAAAGTGCTGTATTGATCCGAACTGCCCTGTGAACTCTCCAACCTAGGAATTTGGCTCCCCTCCCTGGCTCTCCAATACTTCTCTTACCCACTCAGTGTGCCCAAGGCGGTTCTCTGAGTCTCCTGACCAATGGCAACAGGAACTTGTATGCAGTGCCAACTTGGTAACCGAGAGGAGTCTTCTTCCATTTATCAGCACTTACTATCTTTTCAGTGTCCCTTAACTGTCTGTGCCCAGGGTTAGGAAATAACAAAGAGCTCATAGTGTACAAAGGCCGAGCCAAGGGATGTTTGGAATAGTTGAACATACGTGTGCCTTTGGTGTGAGGTAGCCTGCAGACACCCTCAGGGACGGAGTGGGTTGGAAGCTGATCAGGAGCCTCCCAGGAAGCTGAAACAAAGAACAGTAGTGGTCATCATGGGCTTCATATGTATCGACTTTTCCGAGTATAAAGGATAGAGAAAAGAAATTAATGCGTCTCTCAAAAGGAAGCAAAAAGACCTACTCAGAAAACAACACAGAATAGTACTGGGACTGAATTGACTCTTATTCCCAGAACTTCTCTGTGCACACCACTGGGCCTGGTCATCATAAAATCTAGGTAAGGATTGAAGTTCACTGGGAACATTCAGCCAACTAAAGCAAACCAGTCCCCATGAGAACAAGCGCTTCTTCTGGGCACGTGAAAGGGATGTTTTCTTCCCTTTTTTTCTTTTTTGGTTTTTCTAGACAGGGATTCTCTGTGTAGCCTTGGCTGTCCTGGAACTCACTCTGTAGCCCAGGCTGGCTTCAAACTCATAGAGATCCATCTGCCTCTGCCTCCCGAGTGCTGGGATTAAAGGCATTCACCACCACCACCACCACCACTGGCTGATGTTTTCTTAAATTGATTCAATAGTCTCTAAATGACTTCTCCCCCAAAATAGCTTTCTTTCAGATCTGAAGATTCACATCAGGGCCCCAAATGACAAGAGAGCATATTCCCAAAGCCGTGAAGGAGAGAACAAATTAGTCTATGCATACATTCCACAATCCTCAATGTGCAGCTTTGTGAATGTGCATTTCCATGCTATTGACACGTGGCTTTAAGAACTTGTTTGTATGCTTGCATATACTGGGCTGTAGTAAACTTATAACTGACTTTGTCCTCTGTGCACAGGGCTGTTCCTTTGGCGGGGGAGGGGGTTGGGGAATGGGGGGGTTGGAATGTTTCTTGGTTCCCCGAACTGATTCTAAGGAGGAAGATTTTTCTGGAAAAGGTGAGTCTTCTTTAGCGTCATAGAGGAGGCTTAGGCATGATGGGTAAAAGGAAGGATGAGAACTTCCCCTTTTTATAAGGTCAAACATCCATGACTTGGAGTTTATAGGGCATATGTAGAGCTAGACATCATGCACGTGCTTGAATCCCAGCACTGGGGAGGAGGCAGGACCAGACGCCACTGTGGAGTGTTGGGGAGATTTGTACAAGGTTTCTGAAGAGAAAGCAGGAATCTGAAAATAATTATTCCCTGATCAAATGAAAATGCAGTCACCAAACATATCCCCTGTTTTCTTGTTAAAATGCGACTTAGTGTTCATTTCCCCTAACTCCTGCTTGTGCTTGGCATTATGCAGGCCATGAGGAGACCATAACTCTGACACTAAGGAGCTCAGGATATACTTTGCAGGAAGGAGAACATGACTAACATTTTATTGAACACCTACTATAATCAGGCACTCTCCTAGAGGAAGTGACTAAAGGGAGAGGCTGTAATGGAATGCTGATTAATACTAATAGTCACTTCAGGATTTTGAATAGGGCTGGGGAGGCGGAGTGGTTAAGAGCATGTACTGTTCTTTTAGAGGACCCAAGTTCAATTTTTCAGCATCCATCCAGGTGGTTTGTAATCGCCTACAACCCCAGCTCCAGGAGATTGAATGCCTTCTTTCCTCCAAGAATTTTAAATAGATGGATCTAGGGAAATAAATGGGAAAGTGCTTACATCCGGGGACTAAGAGTCGGTTAGAGAAGGACCCTGTTTTGAGGAGTTGGGGCAAAAAGCGTTGTAAGATTAAATTTGTCCCCTGGTCTGTAGAGTAAGGAGATCGGGAAAGGTCTGTGGGAAGACAAACAAAAAGGAATTTGCCGGGCATGGTGGCACACACCTTTAACCCCAGCACTTGGGAGGCAGAGGCAAGCGGATCTCTGTGAGTTTGAGGCCAGCCTGGTCTACAGAGTGAGTTCCAGAACAGCCAGGATTACACAGAGAATCCCTGTCTCAAAAGACAAGAAAGAAAAGAAAAAAGAAAGGAAGGAAGGAAGAAAAGAAAGAAAGAAAGAAAGAAAGAAAGAAGGAAGGAAGGAAGGAAGGAAGGAAGGAAGGAAGGAAAGCAGGGGGCTGATGAGATGGCTCAGTGGTTAAGAGCACTAGCTGCTCTTGCAGAGGTCCCGGGTTCAGCTCCCAGCCCCCACATGTCTCCTCACAACTGCCTGTAACTCCAGTTCTGGGGGATCTGACTCCCTCACACAGACAAACATGCAGGCAGCACACCAGTGCACATGTAATAAAAATAAAAATAAATAAATTATTTTAAAAAAGAAAGAAAGAAAAGAAAAAGGAATTTAGTATACAACAAAACTCTCCCATTATACAAAAAAAAAAAGAAGAAGAAGATATATGGGTAAGCATCTCTGGTTCACATGCATGCAGGTTCTGAGAGGCCAGAAAAAGGGCACCAGCTCCTCTGGAACTGGAACTGGCATGACAGGTGCTTATTTAGCCACCGTGTGGTGATGGGAACTGAACCCGGGGCCTCTGCAAGAGCGGCAGGTGCCCTAACTCCTAAGCCAGCTCTCCAGGCCCCACATGTACTTCTGTACACATGAGTTAAGGACGTATTTTTTTTGGGGGGGTTGGAGAGATGGCTCAGTGGTTAAGAGCACTGACTGCTCTTCCAGAGGTCCTGAGTTCAATTCCCAGCAACCACAACCATCTGTAATGAGATCTGGTGCCCTCTTCTGGTGTGCAGGCATATATGCAGGCAGAACACTGGATACATAATAAATAAATAAATCTTAAAAAAAAAAAAAAAGGAAAAAAGAAAAAGGTGTTTTTCTGGTTTTAGTCTCCTTAGTGCTTAGAATTCTACCATAAAAAAAACAGACGGGCTGGAGAGATGGCTCAGAGGTTAAGAGCATTGGCTGCTCATCCAGAGGACCTGAGTTCAATTCCCAGCAGCCATATGGCCGCTCACAACTGTCTGTAACTCAAATTCCAGGGGATCTGACACCTTCTCACCAATGCACATAAGATAAACTTAAATAAATTATTAAAAAAACAAAGAGACAAAACCTATAGGGCTGGAGAGATGGCTCGAAGATTAAGGGCCAGATTCAATTCCCAGTACCAAACAGTCCACAGGACACCCGTAGCTCTAGCTCCAAAGGGGGTTTAACACCCCTGGCCTCTGTGAGCACTCATGCACACACACACACACACACAAAAAAAAACAAAAAAAAAAACAAAAAAAAAAAAAACATTTAAAAACAAGAGCTATCTTAGGGATTTATAAGTAAGTAAAAACATGTATGTTACTTTTGAGTTCCTGGGAGCTGCAGAGATGTTATTCGATGTTATTGAAATATTCAGGAGATGGAAACACTAGCTGGTATGAATGCTGTGGTACATGCCAGGCACCATGCACAGAGACCTCCTGAAATGCTGAGCCCCAGTGGCATCCACGCCCCAGGCTTTCCCAACACCACCTCACTTTCTTCTTTTATTCCCTGCCTGGAAGGTTATTCTGTGAGTGGGAATAAAACAGCTACTCTCCTGTTGCATCCACGCAGCTGCCAGCAGTCTGTTTGCCTTGTTCTTTGCTGGCAAATCATTAAACAGTCCCCCCAAAGCAGGCCTCTTCCCCAGGGCCACCCCATGGACAAGGAATCAGAGCTGTGGTCAAAGGCTGTCAGGAGTCCTGCTGGAGCTTTTGGGCTGTTTCCAACACGAGCCTTTCTTGGCTGTTGCCTCTTTGGCCTGGTGTTAGCCCCCCACCCCACCCCCCATAGCTTCTGAGGATAGACTGAGCATCCGAGTTGGCTGGCGACTTGAATAATTTTATCTGCTTCCTCCTGATGTAATTTCTAAGGACAACCACCCTGTGTTCCATCTATTGTTTCTTTATTGAAGCACAGACCCATCCCTCACAGCTTTTCCATTATGAATGTAAATGTAATCCATTTTAACAGCCCAGGAGCCAGGGACTGGGATCATCCAAGCAAATCGTAGAGCTTCACCCCTCCCCACTCTCCGTCAGGCATTTAAAGCCTGGGCTGAGAAGACCTAGGTGAACTGGCCCTTTTGGAGACAGTATCTGCCCTTGCGGAGCTTTGCCGCTGCAGAGCAAGCCGGCTGTGGGAGACAGCAGCATGGAACAGGGTTAGCAGGACAACCCCAAGTTCCCTGGGCTCTGAGCCGGAGGCGAGGCTGAAAGACCTGGCCGTGTGTGCAGTTGACCAGGTGACGTTGGGCCTTTCCCCTGCTTGCATTGAAGTCATCAACCAGCGGTGCTGACCGGCTCTACTGGTAGTTCCCATGAGCCTCTGGCACATTTAAATAAATACTCTAGTTTCCTTAGGCCTCATTCCTTTGTTCTTTTCCTTCTTTCTTCTTCTTCTTTTTTTTTTTTTTTTGGTTTTTATTTTTGTTTTCTCAAGACAGGATTTCTTTGTGTAACCATGGCTATCCTGGAACTCCCAGAGATATGCCTCCCCTGCCTCTGCCCTCTGCCTCTGCCCCTGCTTCTGCCTCCTGAATCCTAGGATTAAAGGTGCTCACCACCATGCTCTGCTCCTTTTGGTATTTTCATAAGAACTGTCTGGCTTTAGTCTTGGACCTTTTAAACTTCAAAGTCTTAACCTCAATGATGATTTGGGACAAACATTACCTGCTTCTATCAGGTTTCTAAATTCTTACCATCTTGGACATGAGTTTGGCCAGAATAGAAACAGTGAAGACATAAGACAGAACATGCCAAAGCTGTTTGTAAATAGTTTATTGGGTTAAGTGTAAAGGGACAATTAGTTAACTCCCTGTGGAAGGAGGTAAGGCCATGCCCCAGAAGGACCTTGGGGAAACTTCCAGAACACTCATCTTGGAAATGAGAAGATTAGGGCTATCATCCCGAAAACCAGCCATCTGTCTAAGCCCTCCCTGCAAAGGGTTTCTTGGGATAAGAGTTGAATAGACCTGGCAGGCCTCAGTGGTGCTTTCTGTACAGTGGAGCCACAGGACAGTTTCAGAACTCAGGTGATCGGCAGGGCCTCCTGGAATTCTTGAAGGTTAAGCCCTGAGTACTTCACCTGGTGGAAGACAGGTATCCATGTCACATGACTAGGGTGTCTTCTAAGG